GCACTCCCACCAACAATGGAGGAGGGTTCCTTTCTCCCCACAACCCCGCCAACATTTGTTATTGTGTGATTTCTTGATAGCAGCCATTCTTTGTGGGGTGAGGTGGAATCTTAGTGTTGTTTTCATCTGCATCTCTCGAATGACCAGTGATGTGGAACATTTTTTCATATATTTTCTTGCTGCTTTCACTTCTTTGTATGAGAAATGTCTGAAGAACACTTGTTTTGAAGTGGTGACCTAAGACTGAGAGATGTCTTGATTTAATGAAAGCTTGAGTTCCTATTTCAGATGTCCAAGCTACCTAAGGTGTTCTCTAGGATGATGGCTGCCTGCATGCTGGAGAAGCTGATCTCTCACAGATAGAGGAAACCTACATGACCAGGTGGTGGCTTGGAGGACTGGGCAGCCTATTTTTGGAAAAGGGGCTTGGTATTTCCTGGCTATATTGTATGTCCGTGTTGAGAGAAAAATAAGAGATTTCTGTGTCTTTCACAGAGAGTCAAATTTTTATGGTAATCTTAAATGTATTATATTTTATTTAGATGAAGCTGTTTTCTTTCTTGGCAAATGTTTGCCTGATCCCGCTTATGATAGTTAACTGTGGTATCAGCTTGAATAAGAAATACCTAACAGAATGGTTTAGCACAGTGCTGTATGTGTGTGGATGATTGACTTACTGAAGATGGATGACCCACCCTGGGTGTGGACGGCACCAACCAATAGGCTTGGATGGGATAAAAAGGGAAAGAAGAAGGAAGCCTTGCTTTGCTTCTTTGGAGGAGCTCCAGTCTTTGACATCACCTTTTAATGTCTGTTTCCAGGCTTCTAGCAAATGCTCTTCAGCCTTCCAGCACAGGCCCTTTGGCTTCCCGATGCAGACTTACGTGGGACTCTGCATTGAGCTCCAGGCCTTTGACTTTTTACTCAGTCCTTTGGATCTCCAGCACAGAGACAACCCTTTTGCATTCTTCTATCCCTGACTCTGTAGGCAGCCATTGTAAACCTACCTTGTAAATCCATATATATGTTGTATATATATATTTTTATATTACATCTGTTCCACTAGGGAACCCTAGCAGATTCAGATTTTGGTACCAGGAGTGGCTCTAGAGAAACAGAATTGTCAAGGATGAATTTCTTTAGTGATTTTAGTGGATCCTGGAGTTGGCTGTTGAATTCAATAAGACTAAAACTGCTATGGTGTCTCCTTCTCATAATGTACAGAGTACTGATAATCTGTGGTGTGAACTGTTTAGAGTAATATGCGGTATAGGTTCATTTGATTATCCTAATTCACCACTTGTGAGATGCAAGAAATTTAGAGAGTCTATATATAATACTGTTGAGCATCTTTAGCAGAGTGGGAAATATAACAGTTCTGGCTGGTTGCTTTTAGCATCTCTGGAATATCATGAGCTTCAAACATACATAAAAATTTTGAAGTCTTCTCTCTGTGAAGACAAATTAATAATGGAAAATAAGGAGCTCAAGATTCAATTTCCAGTTCCAGACACACATGAAGAATCTAAAAGTAAAAACAACAACAACAACAACAACAACAACAACAACAAACCAAAAACAAAATGTGCTTTTTCCAGTAAAAAAATAAAAATCTAAAAGTTTCCCAAATATGTCTCCCTCTCTCTCTCTCTCTGTCTCTGTCTCTCTCTCTCTCTCAGTTTATTTATTTTTTGAGACAAGGTCTTGATATATAGTTTTGAACTCACTATGTAGCCCAGGCTGGCCTCTGACTCATGACAATCCTCCTGCCTCAGCTTGCTGAGTGTTGGGATTACAGGCATGAGCAACCACTCCTAGCCCTTCTACATGTATCCTG